CAGGAAGTGGTGGCAGCTACAAACATGGACGGCTTCAAAAGGGAATTAGATAAGCATATGGAGCAGAGGTCCATCAGTGGCTATTAGCCACAAGGTATAGATAGGGGCTCTGGGGCAAGGGATGCTCTGTCATCTTGGTGCTTGGGGGGGGGGTCAACAGTGGGAGTGCTTCTAATGTCCTGGCCCCACTGGTGGACCTCCTGATGGCACTGGTATTTCTGGCCACTGTGTGACACAGAGTGTTGGACTGGATGGGCCTTTGGCCTGATCCAACATTGGCATCTCTTATGCTCTTATGTTCTTATGTTCAAATTGGGCCCCTGCAGTTGCCAGGGGGACCTTGGAGCTGTCACGTGGCCCCAAGTTCCCACGGCCATCTCGTGTGAAGTGTGTGTCGTTTGGGCCCCTCCGCAGGGCAAGGAGAGGGACGCCACTCCGCTCTTTAGAGAGTTCCCAAGGTGATGCCAGCTCCGGGGTACTCCCTGACCTCAGTCTCACTGAGCTTTCCCAGGCGGACTTTGGAGATGACGATGCCTTGCTTTCTTGCTAGTGGAATGTTTTGTGTTCACAGATTATTCAAAGGTCCACTTAACACAGCTTTTGGAAAAAGCGGAAGTGATTGCGGGACGCATGCTGAAATTTTCAGTCTTTTATCGGAACCAGCACAAAGAATACTTTGATTACATCAGGTAAGAGAGTCGCGACCTTTCTAGCGACTGAGAACAAAGCAGGATGTGGTCTTCTCTGGGCAGCACAGCTAGCAGGAAGAAACCCCGACATTTCGCTTTGGAGCAGCCTGCTGGCATTGGCTATAGATCTGTGATCCGGCAGGTAAAATTAATTTGCGGCAATGTGTGTCTTTCTGTGAATTTAGAGCCGGTGCTCTTCTCAGGAGCTGAGGGTGGGTTTTAAAAAAGTGAATGACAATTAGGAATATAGCCAAGGCAATGTGTACCTGGTCTTCAGCTGAAATAGGATTCCTGGTGTTCCAGTGTTGTAAGCTCTCTGCAACGCACTTGGTCCAGCAAAGGAGCTGCATGGCAAACAGCTGGCTCCCTAGCAACAGAACATCTGCTTTGAATGCAGACAGTCCCAGGTGCAATCCTTGATATCTCCAGTAAAAATGTCAGGTTGCAGGTGATGTGAAAGACCTCTGCCAGTCAGAGTGGGCTGGATCAGGAAAACAATGATCTCATGCAATACAGGGCAGCATCACATGTTCTGTGTCCAATGAGGGGGGGGTATTACATAGACCAGGGGTGTTAAACATACAGACCACAGGCTGGAACCGTCCTGTGCAGGGCTCATATCCGGCCTGCCAGCAACTGAGCCAGTTTGGTGTAGCGGTTAGGAGCCCGGACTCTAATCGGGGAGAACCGGGCTTGATTCCCCACTCCTCCACATGCAGCTGCTGGTGTGACCTTGGGTCAGTCACAAGTTCTCTCAGAGGTGTTCTCTCAAGGGCAGTTTTCAAGAGAGCTCTCTCAGCCCCACCCACCTCACAGGGCGTCTGTTGTGGGGAGGGAAGGGGGAAAGGAGATTGTAAGCCGCTCTGAGACTCCTTCAGGTAGTGTAGGGCGGGGTATAAATCCAGTCTCTTCTTCTGCTACTGCTTCCTTCCCTGGGGCTGCTGTGTGGCTCGCTTTCGCCCGTCTCCCTCAATTGTGCGTGGGGAGAGAGACAAAGCCAAGCCTCCCTCCCTCCATTGGTTGAGGTCTCCTCCCCGTCCCCGTCTTCCTTTATTCTTTGCTACAACTGACTGAGTTTGGAAGGGAGGGGGAGGTAAAGAGTGAGGGGGGGGAAGGAGGGAGGGATGGGAGTGATCGGGATGTTTCTCGTGGCCGTCTCCCACGAGACTCCCAATTCCGGCTCCCCCTCCGTTGGCTTCCTTGGGAGGGCTTGCCCGTGTGTTTACATCGGGGAGAAGCATCTTTCCATCTGAAGCTGTGTGCAGATCACCTGGAGGCAGGCGGGATTGCCTTGCTTGGGCCTCAGGATCCCCTTGAAGTCCTGCGTGCTTCTGTAGTGTGCTTGTTTGGAAAGCTGGGTGTGTGTGTGTGTGTCCCCTGGATGAAGCCTAGCAGTGTTCTGCCATTTAGCAGTGCAGCATGAAAGGGTGCAGAGTTTGCACTGCTCGCAGAAGAGGGCTGCGGTGTCTGGGTGTGTTTGACTGGCAAAACTCCCCTCCCTCCCTGCCTCCCTCCCCGCCTGCCTAAGGGATCAGGTGTTCCCTCTCGCGGCCTCCTGCCTCCTCCTCCTTCCATGGGGCTGGAAGAGAGCCCAGCCTCTTGTAGTCTTCAGCTGACATGGGAAGATCTCAGGAGGGGAAGGTGGGGGTGAGCTCAGCTCTGAGAAGGCTGCTTGCTCTTCTTTGCAAAGGCCATTTTCGACTTATTTGCATGGCTGGATTTTTTCCCCCCTCCTTTCTCCTCCCACCGCTCTTTGGTAGGGCTTGATTAGATTTGTTACTCTGTTTGTAGCTTTGGCTCAGCGGTAGAGCATCTGCTTGGTATGCTGAAGGTCCCAGGTTCAGTCCCCCGGCATCTCCAGTTAAAAGGATCAGGTAGCAGGCAATGTTCCCTCTAAGCTGTGGAGTCCTGTGAGCAAAAATTCTACTTTGTGAGCTGCTGGCATTAAAGTTGTGAGTGAGTGATTTGGCCACTGCATACATTAATTTGCTCTGGAGCCATCCTTACTGAGCGAAGACAAAAATGTGGGAGCCGGAGGCTAAAAAACTGTGAGCTAGCTCACACCAACTCAGCTTAGAGGGAACACTGGTAGCAGGTGGCTCAGAGGTTAAGACACTGAGCTGCAGACCGGAAGGTCTGTAGTTCGGCAGTTCGAGACCCCAGTGCTGCGTGACGGAGACGGAGTGAGCACCTGTCTCTGGCCCCAGCTCCTGCCAACCTAGCAGTTCGAAAGCAAGAATTTGCAAGTAGATAAATAGGTACCGCTTCGGTGGGAAGGTAACAGAGTTCCATGCACCTCGGTGTTAGTCATGCTGGCCACATGACCACGGAAACGTCTCTGGACAGCGCTGGCTCTTCGGCTTGGAAATGGAGATGAGCACTGCCCCCCTAGAGTCGGATTTGACTCGCTTTTGAGCAAGGGATACCTTTAGTTTTACTTAGCAGGTGATGGGAAAGACCTCTGCCTGATACCCTGGAGAGCTGCTGCTAATCTGAGTAGAACCACTGCGAGTCTGAACTTTGATGGGCCAGGGGTCTGATTCAGTATAAGGCAGTTTCATGTGAGGGGGTGGGTCTTCTGACAAGCACAATTTTACATTGAGATCGCCCTGCTCTGCCATTTGCTTTGAGACCTGATTAGTATGGGCCATCTGGTCTCACAGACATACGCAGGTTAAAAGAAAGGAAGGGAGAGAGATGCCTCGGGATAAGGAGAAAGGGAAATTTGAAGGAAATTGTTTTGGCTTATTCTGAAAAGGTGTTTTTTTTTTTTAAGATTAGATTTCTCTGTGTCTATCTGGGGTTTTATTTTCTTTCGAAGAGACCCTGATTAGGAATGACAACACTTGGATTGGACTCGTTTAATGACTGGAAGTCGATGGCGAAGTAGTTAAACATACGTTTAGGGTTCCAGATGTTCCAGTTCAACATGTCTCCCTCTCTCCCCTCCCACCCCGCTGGCTGCCTTTCTTCACATTAACCCCACCCCCCTATGCTTCTTTAACTGCTTCATTATTACCACTAGCACTGAGTGGGTTTTGTCCGGTCTGAAATCAACACATTATTTCAACATGGAGAGGTTTTTTATTAGTGGAAAAGAGCAAGAGTCCAGGAGCACCCTGACGACTAACAAAATTTGTGGCAGGGCCATGAGCGTTCGTGAGCCACTGCTCACTTCTTCCGATACAGGTAGAAATACGAGCCCATCTCTCCTATGCGTGGGAGAGTGAAGTGATTCCAGATTCACCTCAGACAGAGGCATCTGGAACCACCTTTAGAAAGTTTATATCTCCGGTACCTTGTGTTGCATTTTATGGCACACATGGCTCAGCCCGACAAAGTGACATCTGTGTCAGATCTGGCCAGCATTAACAAATGAGTTCGACCCCCTCTGATATAGACAATTCCTAGGCCTGGGTTGCTGCACAGAACAAGGAGGGCTGTGAGTGCTGGTGGGCACAGTAGTCATCTGTGGGAACAGAGAGACTGTGAGGCTGAGTCCCGTCTCTTTCCCCTCCCAAACAGGTGACTGGGTAGTAGACCACAGACACCTCATTACTGTAATGTGTATCTCTGCCTGGGGGGGGGCAAAGATGGCTCTGCCACTTGGTAAGAAGGGTAGTGGTGTGGACAGACATAGGTACGCATCCAGTTTATTTTACACCTGTGGTTTCTAATCCAGAAAGTGACATCCAGGGGTCATTTCGTAGAAAAAGAGGTGCAGGAGCTCATTAGGATAACTCATTAGCATAACTTATTTGCATATGCCACACACCCTCTGACATCACCGGAAGTTTGTCAGAAGGCAACACCCACCACTCAGGCTCCACTGGACTGTTCTGGGTTGCTAACTATTTTTTTTCGGGGGGGGG